CACCATGAAGGAGTTAGATGAAAAGCAAGCACGCTTCAATATCCTCTGCTCAGATTTAGTAATCTAATCATCAGAATATTCACTAATACGGTAAGAATGTAAAGCGACTTTCTTAGACACCATTATGCTGAAAACAAAACGTGAGCCAGCCTCTATTTCTCAGGAACAAGTATCCTTAGTTCCCTTTTTAAAACAAATTTGTAGCGTGCTGATCTTCGCTTCAAAATTATCAGCCAGCTAGAAACACCGATTCCAGTCTCGTCCGAGTTAAGTGACCTGTTCATCCTCTCAAGGTAAGTATATAAACGAGTACTTCTAAGTGGACAGGAAAAAAACAACATGTTGAACCAACCGCGTAACTGCAGACACTGCCATAAAATAACGGTACTCTCAGCTAATGACAGAGATCTATACCGCACTAGAATAAAGCAAGGCATTAAAAGTGATGGAGTTTGATGAGAACGACCCCAATGAATACAACCTTCGCTTTTGCCCATTTATGCAACAACCTGGCAGCTCAAGCACGAAAAAAACCTCAGACAACAATCCAAAAGGAATACCGGGATGTTAAAATAAGTGGATGACCAATTTTATGAATGTTTTGAAGCAGGAGCATCTTAAAGATTGAAAAGACTGTAAAGAAAAAGCAAACACTTGCAAACTTGCACTTACACTTGCAAAGAACTTGCAAACAAATTTTAGTTCAGATTAAGTCAGGAATAAAAACAGTAGCTGTAGAAATAGCATTTTACTCTTACAGAATCATGTTATAATTCATTACCTCCGTCGGATGATAAATGAGTCCCATAATCTTCTTCTGGTGTCCCTTAAAAACGGCGACAACCTGCTCTGACTGTTTGTTGAACACCACGGCGTTTTTGTCATTTCCCCCTAAAAATGTCACGTGAGGTGCGAAGAATGCAGGATGTTATTCAGTAAAAAACCGGTCAAAATCAAGTTTGTGTCTGCCATGTGAACGTCTAAACACGTTATGCCCGGAATGCTAGCACTGTGAAGCCCCTGAAAATAACAAAAGCCAGTCGCGCAAGGAACTGACTATCCATCAGCACACCCTACCATGAATTGAGAAGCTTGCTTAAATGACTTCAGTTCGTCCGGCTTCGTTAGTCCTTCAGGCATGCTTCTTCCGCGCTAAAAAATATAAAAGATGTCATACAACAACAAATGACCTGCACACATCTCCTGAACGTACCTGCTTGCGACTGGCGGTTAAAACGGCAGCCTTGTCTTGCAACTGGAAGAAAATATCCGATCATGTTGAATAGAAGTATCTGTAAAACTGTCATCAATACCTTCTTAATGACTTCGTTACTCATTCCCACTTCCTCTGCTGGCTGCTCCGCTCCTTCACCAGCTTCCGCGCCGTAGTGCTAAACAAATTAATATGCATAACAAATTATTACGCATCAAAAGAAAAACTAATACCGGTTCCTGAACGTTATTTGGCACAAATGCTGCATGTGGTTTCAGTGTCGCCAAAGCTAAATGCAAGATGTATATAACAGCATATAAACTTATAAATTAAAAAATTAGCTAATAACAGGAAAGCTTTCTGAGACCTTGGCTAAGTATGAGATATACATCAGCAGTACTGTCGTAAAATATGAGATATCAGTTACCAAGAGCAATATATGGTTTAAAGTAACTTGCACAACTGAGAAAACTATAACCTAAACCTTGCAAAATGAAAACAGCTAAAATATGCCGATGTTTTACGTTTATCTATTCAAAAATGTGTCTCTACGTTGTCTACTCAGAGGAGGCGGCTTTGGCGAAGCACTACGAAAAATCCCTTTCCAGAATGGCGGTTTGATAATACGCATACATGCTTACAGTTGAATTAAGCATGCAGAATCTTAACGGTTACTTAATTGGGATGCCCTGAATTCATTACCTTCACTTCTCCTTCTTGACCTTGTTAACCACCTATATTTCAAGCCCTAACACTGCCAGAAATTGTCTGATTTTAATAAAGCTGTGACTAACTGGACTCAAATTTCTAACCAGTTCTATTAACATTACCAAAATAAAGATTCTGTCAGATTCGAGCACGTTTTCATCTCATTGTATCTGTTCACGAAGTTTATTTGATCCACCGTCAACCGCTACGACGAACTAAGAATCTTCTATTACCCTCTGCTATTATATTATCTCCTATCTAATTCAGGGGTTGTCAGCCCAAATCGACAGACCATTCAGGACCAAAGCTGAACAAGACCATGGTTATATAAAATGCTAGATCTTGATATCTTTTGACTTTCTCTGTATCTACAACCACGGGTTTAGGAGATCTTTCGTTATGTCAATGTTGCATCCAACGCATTCAATAAATTTAGCCAATTCTCGGTACATTAGCGAGCATCAACAACCTAAGGAACCGCATAGGTCTAAGATAAGCCTAAAACGTGCATCACTGCCCCTCCCATATCCGACGGTATCCATGCCTTGGATTCTAGATTAAGGTCTGCTAACGGAGTCAGGTATTGTTGACTTGAATAAAAATGCCGTTTCGCATTCTCATTCCTGACAGTACTGCCTGTTTGTCACTCGGTACCATTAACAAATTCTCATAAACTTTGGGCGGCTGTTCAAATGCCCTACCTGCACCAATTTAGACGGCGTTTATAAGTCTGAATATGAAAATTCACGCGTTTGAGGGGCAAATACTGGTGATTAATTCATAAAAAATTGTTCTCAGGAACAGTCATGGGATTTAAATTTTAACTCATATGCGATGGAAGAACTTCTGAAACATTACTTCCTGCCACTGTTCCGAAATTACACGGCGTAATCGAACCGTCCCGCGTTT